ACTGCCTGCCTATCTTGGGAACGTCCCATATTTGTTTGTCCCTCTCTTTTTTAAGATGTCTTGTCTGTAACCATGGGGCCCAATACGCTCGGGCTTTTCTGCCTCGCCAAGTAAGGGTCGGTCCCATCACGAAACGTACGTCCCTGCGTATCCTTCGTACACGCAACGCAACTGGGGGGATGGGCTGTTCATTTGAGCCACGCCAGAAGGATGCATACACGAGCGGAGCGGAACAGCAAAGTACTCTCATGGCCCCGAACGCACACATAGCTCTCTCTCTCTCTCTCTCAGACAACGAGTGGTGGCAGGCCCGTCTTTCGGGAGCAAGCAACAAGTGATGTTGTAGGTAGGTTAGGGAAGCATCCCATTGCTGCCGCTTTTGCTTCCTTGATTCTCCCCCCTGTTCATCACCAGCACACGCACCACCCACGCGCGCACACATGCGTCGCATGGAAATCCTTCCACTTTCTCCCCCCTCCCATAAAAGGACTATCCTCTTGTCTTCGAGCCAATGACCGCTCGCGACGGATGGCTGTGGAGAGCGCAATCTGCAAGGACCTTGCCGCCGGGTCTGCCTGAGCATGGCTCTCGATTGGGTGGTATGGCGCGTCCCCTGCTGTAGCACCGGGAGTCTCGCAGCAGGGGGCCTTTTGAGAAACCCCCGAAAGGGGCGCCGCCCCAAGGAGCGGCGCGCGCGCGCGGGGGGATCTGATCTTTCTTCTGAAAGCTTCGCCGCAATGGAGGGGTTGCGTCACCCCCGTAGCAAAATAGCCCCCGAGTCGGTTAGGCTCACACGCGCAAGAGAGAGAGAGAGAGAGAGAGTTGTCTCTGGGGAGGAGTGGTTCAACAAACCCCGATTTGACGCAATGCCCCCTATCTTGCGTTATCCTGTCTTTTGCGTGTCTTGGATGTTTGGAGAAGGGAGGGGGGGAGGGGTGTGCGGCCAAGGCTCTCTCTCTCTCTCGGCGACGATGATGGCTGCTTGCGCCCACCGTACGTTATACCTACCTTCGAGGTATTCTCGCCAATAGAGGTGTTGTGGTGTGCGTGCGATGCTGTGATGGGCGACGTTTCGCGAGAGAGGACGAAGGGACCACGACCACGACCACGACCGTTCTGCCTCCAACGTTTCGTCGTCTCCTTCTTGTGTCACTTTCGTCTAGCGACCTAGTAATGGAGTCTTCTTGCTCGGGCAAGCACTTTTTCAGCTCTCGAGTCGGAACCCCGCTTTGTGCGGCTTCTTGTCGTGGCAGGCAAGCTCTGGGACAGAAGCAGAAGGCTGCTGCGTGTCTGGAGAGAGCGACGCCTCTCGAACCACGCCAGTTGGCTCCAAGGCGCCTTCTTCTGCATCATTGCTCAAGGCATCAACCTGGAGATCACCAGAAGGGTTTTGGCCTCCTTGCCGAGTCTCTCTGCAAGGCATCGGACCCCAAAAAGGTAAAAACAAAAAATATGGTTTCAGCCCCCAAAACCACCGCCGGTGTTGGCGTCGCTTCATTGGCGAACCCACCAGTAGGAAGGCCAGGTCCTACGAAAGGGGGCTGGCTTGGAGACAGCCTGGCGGCTGCTAGCGGCACAGCAACTGGGGTGGACTTGGACCTCTGATGGATGGACGGGGTCTCGAACAGAGTCGACAGCATCCAGACTGACATGGCAAAAGATGGCAGATTGGGAAGGGGTAATGGCACCACGCCCATGGCTTTTCCTCACAGGCTGGCTTGTGGTTTTGTCCCACGTCACCGACGCTGCAGCACCGCATTCCACGTTTTTTTTTTTTTATCTTCTTGTGTTGAGAGCTCCGTTTCCTGGAAGGGGTAAAGGGCTAGAAGGAAAAGACAAAAGTCACGAAAAAGTCCTCGATACTCCGCGAATACCTTCGGGTTGGTTGCCCAAGAAGCCAGCCCTAAACAGCATGCATGCTGCGCTCCGGCGGACGGCGACGATGATGAAGCACCGAGCAAGGCACGGGACGCTACTGACCCAGCGCAAAGCTGAGGATCGATCGCCCTTCGGCGGTTCTTGGCTGCGTGCACAAAAGAGCTGCATGGCTCGTTAAGCATCTCTCTCCGCGTCTTCTGTCTGTGCAGGTGCAGGGTGTGAAAGTGATAGCCGATCGTCGTTTCGTCGTCGTCGTCCTCGTCGTCCTCGTCGTCTAGCTCTGATTAGCCTCTTGGGGACTGGCGATACCCGGTGGAATGGCGGTTTTGTGATGCAAGCCACTCCTGGCGAACTGGCGCTCCCTTCGGTGAGCTGCTTTGGGGTTAACTTCTGCTATAGCCCCGGACGACAGCTGCATGTGTCGCTTCAGCACGCACCAGCACAACAGCAGCCTCCGGGGGCCGGGATTGGACGATGGGCAACGGCGAGGCCGCTGCCAGGCCATGCCAATGCCTCTTTTGGTCCTGCGCACGCCATGTATGTACAAGTAGTGTATGTAGGTAGGTAGCTACCTAATGTATTGTATGCTTGCTTGCTTGGCGGGAAAAGGGCACAAGACAACGGGCCGTTTGTTCGGTGCACTTTTCGTCGTCTAACTACATGCTCTCGCGCTTCATGTGTAATGTTACTTGCTTTTGCGCCGCTCCCGATTTTTTTGCATTTGGCTGTTTTCTGCCTAGGTAGTCTCCGGTCAAAAGATACGTGGTGATGGCATGCATTGCAGCAAGTTGGTCATGATGATGATGGCTATGAACGCCCCGAAAAAAAAGCTGTGCGTCGCCAGAAGATGGATGGACTGCCGTCGACCATATTCTGATCGGTTGGTGCACCGCCTCCGAGGCAGCACAGGTCGCCGTCCTGGCGGATTGAGTGACTGTTCTGCTGCTGCTGCTAGAGTCCTAACTACCTGATCTACCTACTTCACGGCACCTGTCTTTGCGTGCGTAGGAGCAACTCTCATATCTGCATGCATCACCTCTGCAGCCTTTCCTGTCATGGACCATCGCCGTCCCGAACCGGGTCGCGCGTTATCCGCTGCACGGGGTCCAACGACACAGGTTTCCCCCTTCGCAATGTCCATCCATTGATCTCCCCTACCAAGTCCCTTCTCTCAAGTGTGTGTGTGTGTGTGTGTCCGACCGGCCGCCGGGGAAGCAAGCGGCCGCGCTGCTGACCCGTCCGCCCACCGTCTCGCAATCGTGCCGTGTTTCGAAACAGAGCTTACCCAGAGCAGCAAAAAGAAATAAGGGGGGGGGGGGGGGGGGGGGGGAAGGGGACAAAATTACCCCGTAGGGCTGAAATGGAGGTGTAAGCGCACTTTCTGGGCCCCCCCCCCCCTTGTACCCGATCTCTCTACTTGGGAGAAGAGACAGAGGGGACCCAACGAGCCGGTCGAATGCGCGTGTCGGTGACCTCTCGCCCGCGCACGCACGCAACATTTGTTCCCGCTTTCCTCTCCTCTCGTTCAAGATGCAATTCTGTCCAACCGATTTCTTATTAAACCTCCTCCCCTGCGGTGCCTGCGGGGAGGAAACGGGGAACAACACAATGCGCAGATAGCCTTCCCGGGACCCCCCCCCCCCCCTGCCCGCCCGCTCAAGACGTATGTACTACTGCTTCATTGCAACGTTTGACCAGACAGACAGACAGACAGGTAGACACACAGATAGACAGGCTGGGGCATGTATGCGCGATGGTGATTGCTGCGGAAGAGACACACCCGCCACAGACCAGGACCAGGACCAGGGGTGGGGGATGTGTGCAAAAAAGAGCGGAGAAACATCTTCTGTCCCATCCATTTGCCTTTTTTGGGTTCATCATAATGATGATCTCCCTTCTTGCGTGTTCCCTTGGCAAAAAAAAGTACAACTAGAGAAGAAGAAAAAAGGTAAAAAGACCACATCTCACGATGGAATGTACCTAGCCTCCTCAAGGGTGGGGAAAGACAAGGGGAGAGAGGGTGTGTGTATACGGAGACTCGAGACTCAAGATGAATCATTCTGGGTTACCTTGCCCGTGGGGGGAGGGAGGGAAGGAAGAGAAAGAACAAGAGAGAGAGTTGAGACGGGCAATGGAACTGCAGTAGGCAAATCTGCCGTGCAGAATACCCGGCAGGCGCAGTCACACACACACATACATACATACATACATACACATGCACACACATGCTGAGAGATAGACATGCCCAAGCTGCGGGCGCGGGAGCTGCAGCAGCCACTGTAGGCCTGTCCGCCCGCCAGTGTAAGGAGTGTAGAACCCCAAACTGGTGTAGAAATGGCGGGATCGGGGACTGATGCGGTCGGTGACACTGAGGCATGCAGAACAGGGGTGAGGGGTGGGTGGTCCTGAGGGTGCTTCATGTTTACTCTCTGTCTCTGTTTAAGCTCCGAACGGGATACACAGGACCGAAGCCGGTGCAACATGGCCACCGCATGTCCAGCGCAAAATGGCGGAGGCAAGGGGTCAAAGAGACCAAGAGTTCGAATATGCCGGGTGATGACTGAGCAACAAACAACGCCCAGAGCCCGGGCCTTCTTGGGTATCGGGAAGGCATGCTGTGTCGCCATCGCTGGACAAGTCACGAGATCCAAATACTGCTGGACGACAACGACGACGGCCGAAGCCGAAGCCGACCGTGTCCAGGACAGCTTGGGAGATGGCCGAGTGCGCATTGCAAAGGACAGAACTCATTGACTGCGACAGATGTTCGAAAAGACGAGAACAGCCTCACTAGCCGCACGATAATAATACACAGCAAAGTCTCTTGATGAATGATATCTTGCTAGCACAGAGTCAAATCGAACAGACTGATATCCCCTTGAATTTTTCGGCATCAGTTCCGCCATGAAGATTTTCCTTCCAAGTAGTATCCGTGTAGCAAAAGCCAACCCTCCAGACCGCCGTCCATGACAATGACAAAAGAAATTGCAGAAAAGTTGTAATGTGATAAACACTCCTGGGATCATGTCTAGATCGCCTCTCCCTAAGCGCAAATCGTAGCAAAAGCAATAACGTCCTCGTGATACCATCTCTCTCTCTCCTTCCATATCCTACACACATCTCTAGTGAGCGCCAGGGCCGCCCCCGCCCCGAGGCCGCTTGGTGTTTCCAGCGCCGGCTTCCGAGTCGTTTCGAGGCCGCTTGTTACCTGGAGCAAAGTTGTCTGCGTTGGGGTTTAGGGGACCGCCTCCGCTGACATTGCGATTTTGTCCACGGCCGCGCGCAGCAGCAGCTGCACCGCGAGGACCGGCCTGGTAAAGCCCTCCTCTAGGGGGACCACCACGGCCCGCAGCGCCTCTACCGCCACCAGGAACGGGGATGCCACTTCCACCAGGAACAGGGATACCGCTCCGAGCCGGACCGCCGCCGGGCTGGTTCTGCTGCTGGGGCTGGTTCTGCTGCTGGGGCTGGCTCTGCTGAGTGCCCGGTTGTGGCTGCTGGTTGGCAGTGAAGGGGTTTGCCCCAGCAGGAGCTTGATTGTTAGACGCCTGAGCAGTGAAGGGGTTGTTTGTGGCAGGAGCAGGCGCCGGCGCCTGGGGTAGACCCGTCGGTGTTGGCTGCGCCTTGTTGGCGCCAGCATTGCTGCCGGTAGTTGGAGTGGGAGCTGCAGAAGAAGCTGTAAATGACATGTTAGCTATCATTGTCGTAGATATGGGAGCGCAAGGGAACCTACCAGCAGTGCCAGTTGAAGGCGGTGCTTGTTTGGCAGCAGCCGGCGTAGCAGGGGCGGGCTTCGCGACCTTGGCGATTGCCCAGACCTCACCAACAGGCCTCTGGGGGGTTGACTCGGCAGCGGTCTGAACAACCTCGATCTTCGCATTGGCGGACTTGAACTTATTCTCGGCCATGTTGATTCGGAGAGAGGCCTTTTTCTCTGCCATGAGCTGGCCCTGTTCGCGCGCCTCTTTGAGTCTTCCGTCGTAGTCGGACTTGAGAGTCTGCTCAACTTCCTCCTGAATCCTCTTGGTTTCGATCTCGACCTTCTTCTTGACATTGTTGGTAACAATACTCTTGATGGTCGCGTTGCTCGCTAGCAAGTCACGAGTCTCTGCATCGCTGAGGCTGGCCAGGTCGGCAGTACTTGGTGTGCCGGTGACTGGTGTCTGCGGGACGTCCGCCTGCTTGGAGGGCGTGGCAGGCACGGGCTTTTGATCGACAGCTGCAGATGCGTTCTCGGCAGCCCAGATCTTCTTCTCCTGCTCGAGTCGAAGGTTGTACTCTTCCTGGAGCTTGGTCTTGGTCTCCTCCAGTTCCTGAGTTTGCTGCTCCTTCGACTCCTTCAATCTCTTGTTGAGGGCATCCTTCATCTTGTTGGACCTCTCCTTTAGAGTAGTCTCCATCTTGTCCTCGATCTGCTTCGCTTTCTCCTCAAACTCGGCAGCCTTTGCCTCTGCCGCCGCGATCTTGTCTTCCAGCTGCTTTCGCTCTTCCTCGCTCAAACCAGATGTTGCTCCCGCAGCCTGAGGAACGTCCGTGCCGTTTTGCATCGCTGTATCCGGACCGCTGGAAGACTGCTGTTGCGACTGGGCGGCTGCTTGAGCATCTCGAAGTGCCTGGTCGCGCTCGGCAATAGCCGTTGCCAGTTGCGAGCGTAGATTCTCAAGCTCAACCTCCATCCCCGCTTTCTGCGCCGAGACCGTCTCAAGCTCGCCACGCAGATTGGCCACGGTCTGCTGCCACTCTGCGTTGTCCGCGGCATCGACTGCCTGTTGAATAACTGGCTCCGGAGGCGGCGTCGCGACTGAATCCCGAGTTTGAAAGTTGACTTGCTCCTGCAGGGCGCCGGCCTCGGCTCGAACCGTCTCGAGGTCGTTCTCAGTCGTGGTGAGCTTTTCGGCGGTAGAATTGAGTTGCTCTTGCAGCTCATTCTTTTGCGCTGTGAGCTCCCGGATACGCTCATTTTGCTCTCGGGCTTTCGTCTTGGCCTGGTCAACAAGCTTGCTTCGCGACTCCTTCCACCCATTACGTTCAGTTGCCAGGATGGTCTCCAGCTCTTGGATCTTTTGCTTCAGTGACTCTTCAGTCTGTTTGAGCGAGTCACGCTCAGCCTCAAGGTCGGCGATTGTGGACTTGAGCTGCTCCGTCTCGGCAGGGTCGCTCTGGCCGTATTTGGACAGGATGCCTTCAGTTCGCTTCTGCCACCTATCTCGGTCCTCCTGTACTTGTTTCAGTTCTTCCTCGACAAAGGTCTTCTGGTTCTCGAGCTCTGAGATCCGCGCATCCAGAGGCTGTATCCTGCTCTCCAGCTCCTCGATCTTAGCCGTCTTTTGCACCAGCTGAGCTTGGGCCTGCTGAGTCTCGTTTCGAAGAGTGACGTTGCTCTCGCGGATGAGGTTCAGTTCGTTCAGCTTGTTCATCAACTCTTGATGCGTCAGCGATGCACGGCTGCTATCGGCTTGTTGCCGACGCTCCTGTTCAAGTTTGAGGGAAGCTTCGTCAAGCTGAGACTTGGTGTACTCGAGCTGCTGCTGCAGCCTCTTGGCCTCCTGGGTCTTGAGATCGTATTGAACTTCGAGGATCTCCTTCTCGCGTCTCAGGTAGTTGTTAAGCTCACGCAGGCCCTCCGTTGCAGTGTCAGCCGCAGTGGATGGAGTGCCCGGACCGATATCGCCGAGCGAGGCGCGGCTCTGCTGGAGCGTCGCGATCTGTGCCGTAACGCTCTCGAGCTGTTGATGAAGCAGCTTGTTCTGTGCGTTTGCATCCTCTCTTCGCGTCTTCAGCTCAGAGATTTCTTGCTCAAGTTGTTGTCGACGCTCTTCCCATGAGTTCTCTCCTTGGGCGAGCATAACCTTGGCAGATTCTGCCTCCGACTTCCAGGTTGCTGCCTCGGTCCTGAACGAGTTGTACTCGTCGCGCAGCTCCCGCAGCTGTGTGACAACAGCGGCATACTTGAGAAGCTCGTCCTCGTAAGCTTTCTGGGCCTTGGCAGCAATGTCGGCTTGTTCGCGAAGGTCGGACTGGTGCCATTTGGCAGATTCCTTGAACTTCTCTTCCTCGTCCTTGAGACGTGCGATCTCGGCTTCGAGGATTTTCTTCTCGTCCTCGTATCTTCTAGACACGTCGGCTTGGGAATCGCGGACGGTGGAAAGCTCTTTGTTGGTGTTGGTGAGCTCCGTTGAGATTGCCTCGACTCTCTGCTCCAACTCCTTGATCTTGGCATCTCGAGTGCTCACGCTCGAGTCCATCTCCTCCTGGTAAGAGGCGTAGGACTCATTGAGGTTGTTGAGATCCTCTTCGGCAGCCGTGGCAAGTTGCTTGAAGGACTCGACCTGCGCATCTGCGGCCTCCAGTCGAGATTTGGCAATATCAAGGTCACGCTTGAGCTCAGATACTTCCTCCTCGAGTTCCTGGATGCGAGCCTCTGAGTCGTTGTCATCGGCAGTGTCTTGTGCGACTGGTGCCCTGGGTGTCGGCCGTGGCTGCAGACGCTGCGTGCGCTCTTCGGCGCTTCTGAGCTCAATCGTGAGCTCATTGACACGTGCCTGGAGATGATCCCGGCTGGTCTTGGTCGCAATGAGTTCCTCCTTACTCTGGCTGATGCTGGCCATGAGGTCATCAATGCGCTTCTGTGCTTGCTGCGCCTCATACTCTTTTCGAAGTTGAAGTTTCTTGGCTTCTTCAGTCTCCTCGGATAACTTTCGCTTTGTTGTGTTGAGCTCCGCCTCCAGATGATCGACCTGAGCTTGCAATCGTCGCCTACTCTCCGCATCATCAAGCTCACGCTGGTTTTGGATATTTTGCATATCAGTGAGCAGCTGATTGAGACGTGCCTTCTCCTGCGCCAGACCCTCGTTGTCTGAATTGAGGCGTTCCTGAATGCCCTTCCAGAGCGTCTTCTCTGCCTTGAGGTTTGCATTCTCGCTTCGCAAGCTCTCCACCTGGCCGCGGACCTCGACGAGGTCCTCAGCCACCTGCTGAGTGCGGATATCCTGTTTGGCGGCAGACTCGGAAAGCTGCTGATTTCGCTTCTGCAGTTCTTTGTTCTCGGTCTGCAGGGCTGTAAAGTTGGAGTGCAGCATCTCAAAACGCTCGGTGGCAAGTTGTAGTTGGCTGTTCAATCTCGCAATCTCAGCATGAAGCGAGTTCTTCTCTGCCGAGAGCTTGTCGGCCTGCTCCCGCAAGGTCTGACGATCCACGCCCTGTTCTTGGCGGTAGGCGTCGAAGTTGTTCTGCAGCTCCCTCAGTGCGATGGTAAGATCGCCTTCGTCGACATTCGAGGTTTGCTCAATGCTAGCAAGCACCTCCCTGTGACTGCCGTCCATGGAGTTACCCAGAACGGAATTGATCTCAGCAGCGCTAGCTTTCTGTTGCAAGAGGCGACGGAACATGTCTCGTTCAGTCATATAACTCTTGAGTCGGAGATTGACAGACTGAGACTCTTCCTGGAGCTTAACCACAGTCTCTCGGAGCTTCTCGAGCTCCTCGTGATCACTGGCGGCCTGTTGCTGTTTGGCCAACTCTTCTTCGCTCTCCATCTTGCTGACCATCTCGCGCACAACCTTGGTGAGCTCCTCGTTCTGCTGTTGGAGTTCATACACGTTCTTGAACGCGATGAACTTCTCCGAAATGAATTGCTGGGCGTCAGACATGTCATCAAGCGAGTTTTCGGCAACCTGGCCCTTCTGTAGGCGTTCGAATTGGCGAAGCTCGTCCTCCGTGAGCTGGTCGAAGCCCTTCTCCTGCGCTTGAAGGTTGAAAACGAGTAGCTGAATCTGCGTGCTGAGGTCTCTCAACTGAGCGCGGAGTATCTTGATTTCGGCCTGAGCGGTATTATTGGCCGCCTCAGCCTTCCTCGCCGCCTTCTTGGCGATATCGCGCTCCTGATAACTCTCATCGGCGATGCGAGTCATCTGGATGTTCTCATTTCGCAGCCGCTCAGCCTCTTGCTGGAGATCGTCGATTTCCGGTCCCTTGGCCTCCAACGCTGTCATCATCTCGTCCAGCTCTTGTGACAGTTGTTGCGTCCGGCGTCGCTCGGTGTTCAATTCGGTCTTGACCCGATACAACTCATCCATGGCCTGGGTGGCAGTGATGGAGGACTTCCCCAGTCCGCGCACTATTGAACCTGGTGTGGCGAAAGGCGAGGCAGCTCGTAGCTGAGATCCGTTGCGCAAAGGCGTTTGGGGCGCAGAGTCGGGTGGAGGTCGTGAAGCAAGCTGGTCTTTTTCGGCCTGCAGCTGTTGGACATCCTCTTCAGATTTGGCAAGAGCAGTTTGGACGCTCTCAAGATCTTGCCGTATCCGCCGAATTTCCTCCGCAGCCTCATCTTTGACCTGTTCGAGTCTCAGCTCGACCTCTCTGAGTCTGTTGCGATGTGTCTCGGTCTGCTGCTCCTTCAGCTCGACCAAACGCCTCGAGGACTCGATCTCGGCTCTAAAGCCCTCCTCGCTCCTGGCAGCGGCCTCCTGAAGCTGCTGGACCTTGGAGAGCGCCTCGTCCGCCTTTCTCTGAGCATCCTCAAGTCTTGAGCGAAGCTGCTGCTCGCTTCGGGTGAGTGAGTCAATAGTCGAATTGGCCTCTTCGTTCAGACGTTGAAGTTCGGCAATCCGCGCGCCTTTCTCTTTGCGGTATTTGAGAGCGTCATTGCTCTTGGTCTTCAGTTCGTTCTCGAGCCAGTCGGCATTTCTCTTGGCAAATTCGAGTTCTTGCTGGAGGGAGGACTCGCGGAATTTCGCGCTGTTGGCTGTCGACTGGGCAGCTTGAACTTCCTGCTGCAGGGAAGTGAGCTTCTGGTTGAGCGTGAGGTTCTTCTGATGCTGCTTTTGAAGCTCTTCTGACAGCTCGGCGTTTGCGGCGTTCTTGGAGTCGAGAATGGCAAGCGTCTCTCGGTTCGAGGTCTCAAGGGAAGTAATTCGAGCGCGCAAAGTGTCAATCTCGGAGATAGAAGTAGTAGTGGACGACTTCAGAGTTTGAAGCTCGTTCTCGATTGCCTGTCGCGCAGTTTCTGAAAAGGCAAGTGGGACAAGTTAGCACATATGCTCCTGCCTCGTTCTGTATTGCTCGATGGCGACGCGGTGAATGGGACGGAGAGATGAGCCTACCTTCAGCTTGAAGCTTTCTACGCGCTTCTTCGACTTCCTTCAGGGCGTTGTCGGCTGTGACCTTGAAGGTCTGGCAGCGCGCCTCGGAGCTGCGCACCACATTCTCGAGCTCGATGTCAACCTGAAGCTTCTCTGAGTAGAGAGTGTCGTATTCATGTGCCTTGGTAGCGACAGCTTCCAGGATCGCCTGGACGAGGTCGGCGGTCGGAGCGGTCGCGACGGTCGTCAAAGAGTCTTGCGACACACCAAGGTGCGTCGCCAGGTAAGGGACGTCCACGGCAGCCGCCATGATGTCGGTTCTCAGGGTAAAGCTCGCGATGCCGTTTCCATGAGATGGGGAGGGCGTTTGGTAGAATGACGGAGAAAGAAAAGAAGGAAAAGAGGGGATGTGCGTCGAGACCAGGGAGGCGGTCTCACGACTGTGGTGGTGGGTGTTTTCTTTGATCAATAGAATTGGGAAAGGCGGCGCCAAACAGCACTATTCTCTGTTTTCAGAGAGCTCTGGGCGCACGGGCCAAGGCTGCAAGGAAGCCAGTGGGGCAGGAGCGTCGACTGTCCACTCTCAGGTGGTGGTGTGCCCAATCAGAGGCCACGGTTGCTGAAGCCTGTTGGAGGGACGATGAATTGGTTACTACCCTTCCTAATTCGGGCAATTGTGCTGAATGGTGACTTGATGTCAGTCAATAGCTCATTGTGCCAAACTCCATCCCATTGTCATTTTTTGACAGTCTGAAAGAAGAAAAAGAAAGAGAACAATTGCATTGAGAAACAATTGCATTGAGACATTTACTTTCCCGTGGTGCATCAAACTCTATCACGGCCCATTTTCTACCAGAAAAGAAGGTGCTTGAAATACGGGAGAGTGACTATTCAACTCAAACTCTTGGCCACACCAGCGCCAGCATGTTTATCAGTCTCAACCCGGGAAGACATTTGATTCCTCGAAGTATAAGACATTTTATTGACCGTAGTCTCCTCGGGTCTGACAAATACCCTGCCATATTCCATAACTCTCACCAGAGCCCTATTATCCCCCGTCTTCGTCGATCCTCGTCACCATGCTTTGCATCATATGTGGAATTTCTCTTCTGAACCCTCTTAAATTATCACAAAAGATTTCAGGTTCAACTAAGCCGAGAAAGTCGATAACAGGAACGGTGAAGAAGGGCAGCGAAACACCACAAAGATATCGATGACCACTTCACAACACTGTCCAGAAAGGCTATCATCTCCTAACAAGTGCATCTACATGGTTCTCGACCCCTTGAACCCAATCATCCCAGCATATGCTCAACATAGCAGTGTGTCTCCCTGCTCCCCATTCCTGTCCCTTCCATCCCGCTCTGGGCAGCCCTGCCCTATCAATCTCAGCCCCTTCGCTCCCCTTCTTGCCAACCGGCAGGACTTGCTGCCACCGAATCACCCCCTCTAACGTGAACCCCATCCTCTCGGCCGCACTCACACTCGCCGTATTGCTCGCGTTCGCCTGCCACTGCACTCTCCTCAGGCCCAGGCCTCCGTCCTGGACGCTGTCCAGGCAGGCGTGCAGCAACAAGGCAATAGTATGCGTGCCTACAAAAGTCCGCTGAAACGTGCTGACGAGCAGCAGGCCCAAGTCGACGGTAGCGCGCTCGGGCTGGCTGACAATGCCGCAGAAGCCCGCAAAGGTACCGTCAGTCACCTCGGCGGTCTTCATCTCGCCGGTGGTTCGATCCTTGCGTGTGACGGTGCCACCCTTGAGGACAATCGCCAGCAGCAGTTCGCTGGGGCTACCGCGCGAAGTCTCATTGTAAAAGCTCACGTATTCAGCGCCGTCTGCGAAGGGGCCATAGGTGAGCCAGTCGTAGACGTGTGGGTTGCGGTTTGCGTCCTGGACGTAGGTCTCTGCCCACTCTTCAAGGTTGTCCTAAGTATGTAGTGAACATGAGCATTTGCGGCATGCTTGGAAATAGTTGTGAAGTCCGGCTTGGGCATATCACCTCTAGTGGAACCAGCTTGAGCCGGTCATTCTGCAGGCGTGAGTGGTTGATAGGGAGGTTGAAACTCGGCGCCATGATCCTCGCTAATGCTCCGATGCTACACTTGACATGAGTGGTTTGGCGGAGTCGAGAAGATGGGGAACATCACCTTCCAAAACCGTATTATTTCATTTCCCCGCCGCCTGAAGGATTTGAATCACGTGTAGCGACAATGTAGCGACAAGCATATCATGAGAAGAGATCATGGTTATTTGCACAGTAGCTCCATCAATGGCCAATAGACGCTTCGTGTTTGATCAGGCATAGTTTACTTAGATTTGTCGGTGCTCACTATGGAGCTGGGCAAGGGCAAGGGCAAGACACTCCGTCACTCGAGGGAGGCATCTCTCAAACCTCACCGACACGTAGAATCATGAGTCCGCAATAGGGCGTCTTCCGCAAGAATGAAAAGGACAATAATAATAAAAGGTATCATAACAAATAATGCTCTATGTCCCAGGCCAAATATACATGCGTATTTCTACATCCGACAAGACCAATGCTGAGGAAATCATGGGACAAGGAGGATGATTAAACCCTCGGGCTCTGTGCCTCGGTGGATGTCCTCATCCCGAGCCAATAAACCCCGTGCTACAATAGACAATCCTGCAATTGATTATCCCAACTGGCACTTTTCTGACCCTCTCCCGCAGCTCGTTACCTCGCGTGGGGCTCTCCCCTCCAGTGCTGCCCACCATCAAGCTCCGCATAATTGTTGGATACAGGGCCCGACTGCCATCCCATGCCCTGTAACTCCGCCCTCTGCGGCTGCACCGGCTGGCTGTCGGCTTGGTAGACCATCTGCGCGGGGAATTCGTGGACGGGCTGCCCGTGCAACTCTGGGGCCGGCGGGCCGTACGCCGAGTTCGGATAGCCCGGCACCGGCGTGTGCGGCGAGGCGGGCGGGTAGGCGCTGTTGTTCCCCGACAGGGGCGAGACGTCGTCCGCGCCTGCCCAGGCGTTCTGCTTCTGGGCGCTGGGGCTGGGGCTCGGCGCCATGCCCGCTGCGATGGCGGCGCCCGCCAGCTCGGGCTTGCCGATGGCGGGAGGGCTTCCCGGACCGGACCCGGGGTAGTTTGGCGGCTGGAAGGGAGTGATCTCGGCGGCGGCGCGCTTCTTGCGGACGTGGCGCATCACGCAGAACGCCGCGGTGCCGATGAGCGCGATGCCGCCGACGACACCGACGACGGCGCCGATGATGACGGGCGTCCTCGAACTGCTAGAGCTGTTGCCGCCGCCGCTGCTTCCACTAGCTCCACCTGTTGCGGCGGCGTCCGAAGGCTTTCCATTCGAGCCCGGCTTGCCGCTGCCCGTCTCCTTGGGAGAAGCTCCACTGCCGCTGCCCGACTTGGCGGTGCCGTACGACTGCGAGACCGATTCGGTGACACCTGCGGGGGTGACCTCTGCCTTGGCGGCGCTGCAGAAGTAGTTGAGCACGGCGAGACCGGACGCCACGTCCTCCGAGGCGGTGGAGCCGCAGTTCCACTTGACGTTCGAGGTCAGGGTGCTGGACACCGATCCAAAGACACCATCCTTGAGGCAGGCACACGAAGCCAGTGCCTTGGGACCCTTGGGGCAGAAATCATAGGTCTGCGCGAAGAGGGCGTAGGAAACACCAGACTGGGCGCAGGGTGCGAGGGAGCTGTACTGAGGCAGGGCCGTGATGTAGTAGGAGACGTCTCCTGGTGGATCGGAGGGCTTAGGAAAGGATGACGTGCCCGAGACCATGCCACAGTATGCCGCAAACATGGTCTGAGCGGACGTGATATCGGGTGAGTGCGAAGAGCAATAGGATTTGACGTATGTATTGATCATTTGGCTCACTTTGAGCGGGTTCTGGTTCTTGCCGCACACGCACGGGCCGAAGAGAGCCACATCCTCTGGGCAGTATGTGTAGGACTAGCGTTTTTGCGGTGATGAGAACTTGGTTCGACAGATAACGTTAGGACCACGGCAGACACTTACCATACTCTGCACGGCATATGCTAGCCCGCTTGAAGCACACGGCGCGAGGTCGCCGATGGCTGCGAGCTCCGTGATGTACTGGGACACGGTGACCGAGGGCTTCGGAAAGGATACTACGGTCTCCTGGTTGCAGTATGCGCTCAGAACGGTCTGGACAGACGCCTGGTCCTCGCTGGCGGTGCCGCCGCAGTTGGCGCTGACGGAGCTCGAGACCGCCTTGGAGATGGAGGCGAAGTTCGAGTTCTTGGTGCAGATACAGCCCTGGAGAGCAGACACGGCTTCGGGGCAGTTGGTCGAGGTCTGCGACTGGAGGATATAGCCAACGGCGGAGGCGGCGCAGGGTGCGAGCTGGGTGTAGAGCGGGAGATCCGTCACGTAGACAACCTCGGCGGCGGTAGCCAGCGTGGCCATGGCGGCCAGCCGGACGGCGAGCAGACCCGTGGACTTCATGCTAGAGAGGACCACGACGGACTGTGCTGAAGAAGTGACAACCTGCCCTGTGGGAGAGGCCCGGAACGGAACGAGAGGCACTTCGCGATAGTCACGCCCGCGTCATCCAAGGTGAAGCATCGGAGAGAGAGAACCAGACAAGACGCCTTCCTTCTGGAGCAGCCGTCAAGGTGGGCAGAGATGCCCTTTTGGGGACGGCGCCACTTCCGACGCACCTCATCTCCCATACCTCGTGGACGTGGGTTCTCGAGACGGGCTTCGCGGGACTCCCTTGGGCTCTAGGACTCAGAGTCTATCCGCCAAGTGGGCCACTCTTGAGAGCGTTGGTCTTGGCACCATTCGCAGCCCTTTTCCACGACGAGACGCTGCCGGATAAGGCAGTGAAACCCTGACAGCTGAAAAGTTCGACCGCACTTCGTCAACGCTAGCGCCGTCCTGGCACTGAGTGTTGTGGAGATGGCAGGACAAAACGCACGCTACTCCAGGCACGTTGTGGTGTTTGCAGGCTTGGCATGCACTGCGCCCGGCATCACCAGACCGATTTCAATCGTCGTCGTCAAGGGAGCGAGTAATCATGACTGATGATTTATTCAACATCCCGGAGAACTCTCTGTGCGTCAATAAGGCTGTAAAGGAGCATACTGGTAAATGCGGAGAGCTTGTGTGCATCTCGAGTCCAAGTCTCAAACAAGAGCTGAAAAGAAGCATCGCCGTCATCACCTGCACTCTCTCCCGTCCCGTGCACAATGCAACAGTGCCGCCTGCAGCCCCTGTATCAATCACCAAATCCAGTCTTAGCGCTCGCTAAGTACGGCTTTGGATTGGCAGAGACGAGCTAAAAGACCCCTAAGCCCCTGCTATCAACGAGGGAAATGACCCGTCCCATCCTCCAGGAAGCACGGTCCACATGCAAAATGGTTGGCCTCTGGCCCTGGGATGGAAAGAAACCCACCGTCTCCGAGGCAAATCTATTGTAGCAGGCAGCATGGCATTCCCATACACTGTCACATACGTCAGATGGGGATTTAAAGGCGAATATTGACTGCATTGAACCATGCACGCGCGTGCTCGAAGTACCTAGGTTGCTCCATGTGGCGCCGAGTCCCAACCAGCGCGGGACAACGCACACGGTTAAATTCCCCTGAAGAACAGCGCCACACACCCTCTCTACTCTGAATCTGGTAAGGGAAGAGCCGAGACAACACCAGGTAAGGCTGTATTGCTGGTGACTGGTGACTGGTGACTGGTGCATCGAGATGATGTTGTTACTTCTGAAAAGAGCCAGCTTGTTTATCGATCAACACTCTTGCTCTCAGTCAACCCAAAAAGAGAAAAGAGGCTACACCAAGTACTGAACAAGAGATGGAAGGGGTAGTGATTTATTGCCATTATTACCGATTCATTGCATGCTGCCACTGTATTGCCTCTACTGACCCAGTCTATCTACATCACTCGTTAACACACATCATATCCAGTCTGCAATGGAAGTCTACCTTATATACTAACACATAGCTTCAAGAGCATTCCCTCTTGGCTTTACAGGATATGTGCTTCTCTTGACTAAAGTCTACTTTATCCTTTTTGCAAAAGAAGAATTGATGCGCCCGCAGACACCTGTGTTCAATCGCTCGAAGATCAAATCCCCACAGGCATCACCAGCATCAGAAAGGTTCAGGCCCGGCTGGCTCATAAATACAAGCAGATCCTCCACGTCGAAAGTGACACAGAACTGTTCCCTGCGGGCAGAGAACATGAAATCATCGTCGTCACAGTCTGTGTCCACCTCGAAGCCGTCGTTGTCGCTTGTGTCACTGCCGAGAGTGTCGGCGTCGTAGCTGCCGCGGACATATATCCCTTGACCAACCACGCAAAGCACATTCTCTCCGAGTGCCTTTCTTACCACTAGGCATCTTTGCATGTCTTGGGATGGGCGAAACGACCTCAGAACCCAGTCACCTGGCTCAGTAGCTGGGGGGAGGAACAGGTGGAAAGGCGAGCTCATCGACCTGACCGCATCGACCACATCGAGCACGTCGAGCCAAGATGCCGTCTGATAGCGGTCCGGAGTAGTAGGATGGCCGATGAGAGCCTTCACATGACGTGCCGCATATTTGCAAGAGCGTTCGCTTTTAGTTTGTTGAACAGGGCCTGAAGCTGAAAACGTTATGGACTTCTGAAGTCGAAATGCTTGCCAACCTTTGATGGCTACCGTAGACCGGGAAGATCGACTTGAAGCCAGCTCTCGGGACGTCACGAGTGGTGAAAACTGATCTAAATGTGTGCGTCTCTGGTTGAGGGCAGCTCTCATGTCTGCGCTGTCGTATGGGGAGAGGCGCAAGCCTTGCGTTATCCAGTTGATTATACCCTGGAACCTACCGACATCGTATGTGTCACCCGGCAGCGAGCCCAACAACTTCTCCGCCACTTGGAAGGTTGTGAGTCGGTAATCTGGTTGTGGTGGTGCCACACTACCCCAATTTATAACAGACAAGATGCCGTAGACTTTATCACGAGGGTCTTCGCATTTCAAATCGGCCGTCGCGCTCAATATGTGCCGCAATGATTCGTCCAGCCTCTTGGAACCCGGGCTGTAGAACAATGCTGTACTTATCGTCAACGGGTGGTGAGGAAAAGGTTCCCCTTGCGCAACGGTCCTAAGCGATACGGCGATCAGGTAGGACAACATCCAGACATGCCGGAGAGGCCGTCGAGCATCGCCACAGCAAAGAATTGTGTTGGTACCCGCCAAGCAAAGTTCATGGAACACCCACAATCGTGAAAAGTATGGCCTTTCAAAGAGGTTATTCAGGGCCTGAACAAGCCTTTGAACGGTGGTGAGGCGTCTCAAGACCCACCGTCTCTGATAGGCTCGATAACATCTCAGTTTCCGAGTGTAATGAGATTTGGAACCCTTGGGAGCACCCCGCATGACGAACATCTGTTCTAGAAATCGGGCATGTCGTCTGCAGAAAGCCAACAGCCATTCGCTCTCGCCGTCGTGCGGGCCAACGCAAGCCCGGACGTGGCTCTGCTGAAGATATCGCCCATCATGGCAACCTGGTGGCCTTTTTCATCGTCGTCGGTTTGATTTATGCAGATGGAATCGACCCAGAGATATCGATCACCTCGTTGCCCCTGGGCTTGGCGCAGGGCGTACTCGCAGTTCTTTCGGACAATTACTTCTTGGCCGTTGACGTGGATACGAGTCGTGTCGAGAGTGTCTCCCCAGGTGTATGAGATGGCACAGTACAACGGCGCCTCAGAGACAAGCCATTGAGTGAGGCGGCAGGAGATTACTCCGTCATTGCTAGGAAGGAGTTCGAGGAGTCGTATGTAGTTCTTGGGTTCAGGTAATGGGTCGTAGTGAAAGGCAGTCAGTGAAGAGCTGTCTGACCGCCACTCAAGATGCATCCTCTGAATTAGACTACGAATCCCCATGGCTGGTAGGAGAGCTTTGGGATAGGGCGGTAGCGGCCTGGGTAATGTAGGTAGGACGAGCTGAGGGATGTGAGTGCAGGTACTTTAGACAATGAAAACTGCAACATCTCGAAAGGAGGAAATAGCAATGCAGAACGAGAGGCCACTAGCAGACAGACGGTAGAATTGAGCTGACACGGTAACATCCGACTGAAAATCATTGCACCGCCACCGTCATCCTTGTTGAGAGACCTGCATGAATATATGGAGGAGAGGGGCTCCTGGTGGCTGAGTCTTGGCAGACGTGTGGGGAGGCCTTGTAAGAAGCCTTGTCTCAGGGAGCTCGTAGAGTACCGGTACTGGTCCGACCATTTTCTATGTCGGGTCGTCGTTGGGCATGATGCGAGATAGACGCATAGATGCCCAATGGAAACTTAGGTGCGCTCGTATTCTCGAGCCTCCTCTGTGCCTCCATATTTGAGTTAAATCGAAGTATTCAATCCATTCAAGTTCTGATCGTTGTTCATTAGCCGCGCTTCATCATTTGTTAGGCCGGTTTGCTGATTATACATCACTGCGTTATTCAAAGAGTCGCACACCGTTGATCAACATATAATCTTGCCTCGTGCCTACCAGAGCACGCTGCAATAATGACCTCCACCACTATGAACAGGTACTGGATTCCTCAGGAGGATATCCACAAGAAGGTTATCAGCAGCGAGATACAGCACTATCTGGGGCCAGATGCTACCGTGAGAGCCTATAGCAAAGATGTATGTAAAACCCTCAGATGACTGGATGGTGAGATCCCATATTTAACAAGGTCTGTAGGGAGAAGATGGTTATTTGATAACAACTCCTGGTCCTTGCTTCTCAGACGTAGGTTCTTCGCCCTTGGCTAGAAATGTGTACCATCGTTCCTCAATTTGAACGTTTGCAGGAACAAATCGACGAACTGCGTGTCAAGTCCAAGGAGATGTGGAACCGACAAGCGGCACTAAGATCGGAGTCTGGCGAGAAAGAAGTACCTTTGAAAAGACCACTACATCCGCCAGTTATCATCTCAAGAGGCGGAGAAGGCGGCGCCTCGCGAAGAAGGCGACCCCTTCACAGGTGGTACTCTCACCATTTGAATCTGTATAACAGAAATCTCACTATCCAAGTGAGTTCTCACCTTCAGACTGGCAAGTGAGCAAAATTAACGAGCATAGCAGGGTTCTGACTTATCCAAAGCGGATCCTGACCTTAATACCGATGTCATCGACTTGCAACCAATGTCTAGGAAACACCATATTTCCCAAAGGAGCAATGAACAAAATGAATTCTCTAGTTCGGCAGTCTCTACCTCAGCATCGAACCTATACGAATCAGAAGGCCGTCATGGAAAGGTTCTAGGTGGTATGGGGTGGGATAAGTCCTGCGCTCTTGGTGGCGGGGAAGAATCTCACACAGACTCCGGAACCTCAATTGATGAAGGCCACAAATCAGCCGGCAAAGAGCTTGCTCAGCTGCTCCTTCGTCGTTATGACATATCAGACGCGGGCTTGGCTCTGTTGTCAACGTTCGGCCCAATGCGACTCCAGGACGACCTTGCTCGTACCCTGTCTCACTTTGGGCGGGATCTGAAGCGAGAAGCAAGTTCCCCCACGGAACAATCAGCAGTACACTTTGTAATCCAATCACGCAAGAGAATAGCGGCAAGTATGGTGGAAGCTTTGATACTGCATCGTGGACACGAGACACTCGGGTTTGCTGATGTAACCACAAACAACGACAAGGAACACAGGATTCAGGAAGATCTCGGGCTTGAACACCATATTAAGTCTCCTGTGGAGGAAGTCTGGACCGACCAAGATGCCGAGGTTGACGAAAGCGAGATCGAAAGTGAGATCATCTCCAATCTTGACTGTGTCAAGTCATTCATTGCCAATAGTAAAGCACTGAGGATTCTATCCGGTCGCTTTAAATACTGGCCGATTGAACAAGGTCGCGTGGATCAGCAAGAAAATCATTGTTCCTTCGACCATGAAGAAGAGCAACGTTCCTCCAATGTTCAAACCAGCGATCAACAAGGTCACAACATGTCAACAAGCCTCCCTGACTCTGAAGGAGCTAATCTGAATTCCGCTACCGGAGGTGAGACAGTCATCTCAGAGGACTTCCAGCTGCTCGACCCTATAACGTCTTCAGAACGTGAACATCATGCTTCTACCAACACACCAATGGAGTCAGTCGACGATTCTGCAAGGCACCAATCTTTGCTAATATATTCATATGATCGTTTTCGGCTTACCCTAATCTCGTTATTAGATCAGTTGAGTGCGTTGGTAACGACACCCTGCCCTCCGGGAAGCGTGAAGGTTGCCTGGAAATGTGTGCGTTACCTTCAGCTGAATACATGTTCTCAGTTTCACAATGCTAATATGGAAGCAGAGATGTGGGCGCCGGCTACAGCTCACGGTGCCTAAAGAAAATGAGACTGCACTCCGGAGATTCATCCAGAATACAGCAGCCTCAGGATCTCCCCCCAAGGCCTCTTCCACCACTTCCGATTCCGACGGGCCCTACGAGAGGCATACATCCAGGAGCTCTTCTCAGGCTCTCGCTTCGACTTCTGCATCTGAAAGCGACAGAGCTAACACGGTCGACACGGATCCCTCTAGCGTAGGCTCCGATGAAGAGGGGCCGCAATATCCAGATGCCGCGCCGGGGACGCGAAAATATTTGCTCCTATGCGCCAAGTCCGGGGTTCATCGGATCTCGCTTGCCCATATCGACTTAACTAATATGAACCATGACGAGGTATTGTTTCAACATATTCGAACCGAATACGCCAGACTTCGGGGCCGTGCGGCAAGGAACCCTTTCCTCGTGCCCAGGACGATGCATTATATCAAGGTAAGAAGAGGTAATCTGGGCCTGTTGTCCAAGCTTGCTAATTTCAAGTGCAGTTGCAGTTGGTATTCCGACACAAATCCAAGGAATGCGTCGGGAACTTCTACTTGGACACTGCCGACTCCATCCCGCCCCCGAAACACGTCAGAGAAGGGCTATACACCTACAAGCCCTGCCCCGTGGACATGCCTCCGTTCCCGATACATCCCCATGTCTTCATGCATTCATTCCTCTACCCGGGAGATCACTGCGGCTCTCAGATCTTCCAGCGCCTACCCAAGAAGATGCATTGCCAGCTTTCGTGTCAGGACGATCCCTTCCAAACCCCTATGGGGTGGGGCATTTGTATCGTCGATGGCTTTGACTGGAGACTCCTTCGGATTCTGGTGCTTTCTACCGTTCTCGTGTCTTGTGTCGTGACGGTTCTGTGGTCAGCCCTCATGAAAGACGTTCAAGGAGGTACTGGTATGGGGCAATATGCGATGGCCCTCCTTGCTATGTCTTTAACAGTCATAGGTTTAGAGCTGGCGTACGGGAATCTCGATTCATGTATGTGATGGCCAACTCAACTTTGTTGAAGCTCTGGTAAATCAATACGCTGGCATCTTTGTTTTATGGCACATTGTACCTTGTTGTTCGTTTCATCAGGCTTGGGGCACTCTAGATATACTCACATGCACTTGAATTCCGCGACCCTCGAGTAGCTTTTCTGATCGTAACCCAATATCCCGTTCTATTACTAACAAAACAACACAATGGACCTAAAATACATCATGATTTCGAAGGCCCTCGTTGTAAAGAGACTTGACCGCCACTTCAACAAGCCCAAGGAACCTCTCCTCCTCGATGCGGACGTTGGCACTCTGCCACACCCTCTCCTCGTCCCGCTTCGCCTCTCGCCTGGTCCCTCGAGTCGAGGCAGCACTGCCGGTCTCGCCTCCTGTACTTCCCTGCTCCTCCTCCTCTCCCGGCAGCACCATGTCGGCGTGGGCGCTGAAATACCTGTGGCCCGTCATGGCAGCGAGGTTCCGGAAGCCCTTGTGGAACAGCCCGGCGGGCTGGATCTCGGCCACGGCGCCGGCGCCCTCGCGCATGAACATGGCGTGCGTCAGGCCCGCGCCGTGCACGCCGAGCAGCACGTCCGTCTCCTGGACGATCCGCAGCTGCTCCGCCAGCGGCAGGGCCGCCAGGTCGACCGCCCGCACGTCGACGTTGGGGAACCGCGCCCGCGCGGCGTCAAGCAGCGCCTCGCTGCGCAGGAGCCTGCGCGAGCCCCTGCGGTCGACGAACGTGAGCGTGATGTCCTTGTCCTGGGCCCTGCCGACCGGCCGCGGCCCCGTGGCGTGCTCGACGCCGAAGTGCTGGAACACGCGCCGCACGAAGAGTCGGAGGAGAGGCGACTCGGTGCAGTCGCGGGCTACCCAGTCGTTCTGCCACAGCGGGTTGCTCCCGCCGGGCAGAGGGAGGATGATGTTGAGATGTTTTTCTGAGAACTCCTGGGCCTTGACCGGGTCCTCGACGATCTCTTTGAGATGCAGAGGCGGCTTGCTGGAGAATAGATGCCACAAATCAAAAGTCGATCCCCTGATGTGATCATCGAGTACTATTATTTGTGTGTTCGCAACGTCTTCTGGCGACTCAAAGAAAGGCTTGTTGTCATCGTTCGGGTCCCGGCTAAGCCGAAGAGTGTCAAAGGTCATCGTCATGGACCAAATCTCCATGAGGGTATGCCAGAGATTGCGGCCCTCCTCCCGTTTGACAAGCAATGCGAACTCTTTCTTCTTTCCCATCGGCTCGGGCGATCTTTGCAGTGTCGGTCTGAAGTCGACGAAGTGGTCAAACAGAACCTTTGGGCCCGTCGCGTACCAGTGCGGCTTGATCCGATCAAAGGACAGAAGCCCTCTGGCGGTCTCATTGTCGTCCGGCTGGCGGATGTTACAGTCCAATGCGAAACGTTTACGGCTCACGTCGAGCACAGAGCCTTGGCCGATGCAAAATGAGTCTTGGTTGTCGTCATCGCGCACTTTGCTATGGAAGCAGGTCAGGCGCGCCTGTGACTCTGGTGTGCAGTATTGAATGTTGTGATCCCTGAGCTGATACAGGTATCTCGGACTGAAACGATCGACGCAAAACTCTGGTTCTCCCGGTCTTGTTGGCGGTATGTCGTCCAGCTCCGGTATGGACAACGACGTCGTCGAGGAGCCAGTGGGTTTCTGTGTTGACGGCAGCAGCCAATCCGGGATGTCCCGGGAGTATGACTTCCGTTTGATGGAGCCGGAGAGTGTGTACACAACCAGTGCAACGAATGACAATGTGAAGATCAAAGAAAACAAGCGCCGATTTCCTAAAGAGTTCCCGGCAATCATCGTGGAAAGTACGGTGCTCAAAGGATGCAGTGCAAGTACCGCGTTAGCTCATCAGAGAAAGGAGAAATGGGAAAGAAGGTAGAATAGAGAGAGATCGAGTTTGCGCGGCCGAGGAATCAGGCTTCTAAAGTCCAGGAGTGTCGTCACAGAACCAACAGCAAAATGTGGTTCAGGGGGGGCTTGGCTTGGCTGCATGTGTTCAATGTTACCACAGTGTGTCTTCCAGGAGCATGTTGTCAGTCAGCTCATGGGGGCTGAGTTGGGGAGCGACAGGCCATCATCTATATCGGGCGCGGCAATGTCAGCCGCACATAATTGATTTATCTTCTTCCCATCTATCGTCTTGTGGCCAGCAACCAACCATGTGCACGTTGGGAGCCAAATCGCAAGAGAGAATTTCGAATATCTCTAACCCTCGCGAAGCGCCGAAGGAATGACCCAGGCCCAAAACAAGACCAGGAGATTCTGCAGAAGAGTGTCGGGTGGCGGTAATCATCTGCACATTCACCAGTGTCCCATCCACTCTTTCATCTTGTCTCCAACGTCTAAGCGCCCAGCCCCTGGGCCCCGGCCCTTCCATCCGGCCTATCATCTCCCAAGGTAATTTCTCGCTTCCACTCTCCCGGGCCCGGCTCTCTCCTCCAATTCGCCATCACAGGGTGTTTGACCAGGGGTCGACTTTGCTTGGCAATAAAGCGATGCTACTCTTGTCCCAGGTTTATCTCTCAGCCATTGCTCAGACTGGGCATTGATGAACGCAGCTATTCCCAGTCCAGGTATGGTTGTGTCTGTTGGTTCCAGCATGGCCACCCCTTTTATCTATCGTGACTCGAAACAGTTCGTGGCACTTTCGTCTGCCCAATCTCGGGGCCCTAAGGGTAAACATGATGGGCAAGCCTTCAGACTTTCCAGTGATGGTCGGGTGGAGTCGTGCACTCTGTGAAATCTGCATCAGGGACGACATGTCAGGCCACTGACACAATCCCGGTTCAGTCGAAGTCGGTGTGAGCGTTGGTTGGGTTGTCCCCTATTAGTCTCGAATGCAAGATTGATCTCGTTAGACCCGGACTGTGTAAATCTTCTCTTCCCCAACCCCGACCTGGGTGGCGTCTCATTCCATCACACACCTTCTCTTTCGACACCTTCATGCCTCGCATAATACCACGTAAAGAATCGTTGCAAAGTAAAGCAAGTCTCGGTCAAAGATGACTGGGCTACGCACAGTCGTGGCGATGATCTTCCTCGCCATCATGGTTACCTCGGCTTCGGCGTCGACCTGTGCTCCATATCCAATTCCTCTGAGGATTGGCAACATCTCGTTGCCAAACAACCAGATAGCGAGAGGCGTTGAGCTATCAATCGGAGAACCCCCTCAGAAAGCTGCTTTTCTACCTCTGTGGTAAGCCTTTTATGCTTTGACCTCATTCCTCATTGTTGACGATCCATGTCGACTCATTGTTATGTAAACTCTTCGTAGGCCGCTAAACAACACACTGCTGTATGGCACCAACGGTCACTGCCAGGCCGGCGTCCCGAATCCAGGCCCTTGGACCGATGACGGCTGCACCACATTTAGAGGAGGTGCATACGATTTTCTTGCTTCCAAAACGAGGAAGCAGGCTGTTTCTGACGCCTTTGCCGACGACAAGAATGGTGACGGCTTTATTGGTAGTCCGGCGTACCCAGAAGTCACCAAGATTTCCGACGGTCTCCGGCTGACTAGCAACGTCACGCTGGAGGACTTCCCTCTCGAGATCGCCTTGAACGACTGGGGCTCTCAGGCGTACTTGCCGATGATGGGCCTCGGACTAGGTCTCGACTCGACATTGTTGAAAACCCTCAAGTCGTCCAACCGAATCTTGTCTCGCTCGTGGGGCTTCTTTTGGGGCAGGAGCACGCCCGGACTCCCGGCGTCGAGGCAACTCGACGGCAGCCTCGTCTTGGGTGGGTATGATCGCGCAAAGGTGTCGGGCCAAGGCTTCACGCAGTCGCTCGTCGCCCCGGGCTCGGTGTCTCAGTGCCCGTCGCAGATGGTCGTCACCATATCCGATATCGTGCTCAACTTTTCCAACGGCACGAACCGGAGCATTTTCCCTTCCTCGAGCTCCAGCGCCATGGCTACGTGCCTCACGCCCAGTCTGCCGGCCCTCATTCGGCTGCCGCTCGACCCATACTTTAACAACATGATGCAGCTGACAAAGGAGTCGATCTTCCGGATGGATAGGTCTACTGGGATATACTTTTGGAACATGCGTTACAGGGCGGACCATGTCCCGTGAGCTATGACCTGAACACTCTGCCGTCATCGATCCAACTGCTAATATCATGAACATTCAAGGTACGACGGCGACCTCACCATCTCCCTCCAGTCAGGCCTTTCCGTCCGCATTCCGAATGAGCAGCTCGTCCTCCCACACACTGAGATTGATCAGACCACCGGCGAGGTGCTCGTCAACACGACCGGCCCAGATCTCGTCATCGACTCTCTGCAAGCCGAAGAGGCCAGCAAGTTTGCCCATCTAGGTTGGCAGTTCTTCTCGTCGGCGTACCTTATGGTCAACCAGGACGCAAACCAGTTCACCCTGTGGAAGGCCAACCCCACCGCACTCGAGGACCTAGTCGCGGTGGGTACAGCCGCAGAGGAGATAAGGACATGGTGTGCAAAGGATGCGCAAAGCTCGGGCGGGGGAGGCAATCAGCCAGAGACAAACGGCAGGGGCTCTGGGCCAAACGTGAGTTCGTCCGGGTCTTTGTCCAAGGGAGCAATAGCCGGCATCGCAGTCAGCGTCTTGATCACCTGTTGCGTTGGTACCGTCCTGGGGGTCTGGTTATTCAAGCGACGGAAGTCTTCTGGAGTAGAAGCGGATGTCCATCCCGCAGAAGAAAAAGGGCAAGCGGTTCCGGCTGACGGCTTGTCCAATAGTGTAATGTATTATCAGGGGAAGAGCGAGTTGCAGGGCGAAGATGTCCACTACCAACATTTGCCAAATTACGGGAACGAGCCAGGCACCACGGCGAAGTATGAGTTGCCTGGTTGAAGGAGATAATGTATATAGCATGTTGGTTATGCAACAGATAGCCAAGAGGAATCATTAATCTGTTGACAATGTGCGGAAATAGGCCTTGTAGAGATACCCTCTAGGCGTATAGATCTACCTGTCTGAGCTGGATACTTATTGTAATCCGACAGCTTAGTGCATGATAGCAATATCTGGAGTATGTCTGAAATCCCGTTTGGAAGTGTTCATATCTGACGTTGCCATTATTTGAAGCTTTTTAATCGATGTCTCTAGTAAACAAATCTCATCTATGCCTGTGTCTGTTCTACCTACTCACGTGAAGCAGAGAGTATTAGTCGGAGAGTCTCGAATCCACAATACCTATGTCTGGGCAGAAAAAAAAATGACCAAAATACTGCATAGGGTATGTGTAAAGGCCATAAAAGATCAAAGAAACCCAAGAACGCCACCAAAATGTAATCGACAGGCTTTTTTCGTATCCCAACGCCCATCCATATAATAATCTAGTCAAACTTGATACCGTTGCGGACATTGGTGTCGATAAAGCCACCCTTGTAGCTACCCCTCTTCTTCTTGTTCTTCTCCTTGGTGAAACCCTTGCCGCGAGTGACGATCAGGTCCTCGTGCGCCTTCTGGCCCCACCCGTGGGCATTGTCTTCGAAGGCATTAGAGGACAGCCGGGGGTCGACATGGATGTCCCTCCGGATGCGCGAGAACGGCTCGTTCTGCTGCCTGGGCTCTTTCGCCGCCTTGCCACGGTTGTTGGTCTTGGTCGGGTCTGGGGGCAAGGGGGCAAAGGTAGAGACGGGGAACGTCTCGGGCGAAGTCTTGCCCAGAGTGGCCGAGCTTTCCGAGCCGTTCTTAAGGGGCGACTTGGCACGACTGGCCTTGGACTTGGACTTCTTCGACTCGTCCTCCGACTCGGAAGACTCGCTGTCACTTGAGTCCGAGGAGCTGGAACCGGAGTCGGAGTCGGAGCCGGACTCGGGGAGAGGGACATTGGCAGCCTTCTCGGCTTCAGCGTCCGAATCCGAGTCAGAGTCGGAATCAGAGTCCGAGTCCGAATCAGAAGACTCAGAGCTTGAGTCTGAGCTGGAGTCGGAGTCGTCCTCGGACTCAGAGTCTGCGGTAACCTTCTGCTTCTTGTTCTGGGGGCGCTCGTCCTCGGAGCTGGACGAGCTCGACTCATCAGAGCTGTCAGAGTCTGACGACTCGTCCGAGGACGACTCGCTGTCAGACTGAGCCTTGCGCTTCAATGGGTTGGCGGCGGCGGCGTCCTTGGCAGCCTTGGCCGACTTAGCAGGCTTCTCATCATCGCTATCGGATTCGCTGGAGCTCTCGCCGGAGCTCTCACTGCTGCTGGAAGACTCGGAGCTCGACTCGTCGGCGGCCGCTGCGTCCTTCATGTCCACATCGCCACCCTCGTCTTCGCTGTCGCTCGAATCGCTCGAGTCGCTGCTGGAGCTGACCTTGGTCACGCCCTTGATCTTGCTGGCCTTGCCCTCCGAGTCCTTGAGGCTGGTTTCCCACGTTTGAAAGACGCTGACGAGGGAGTGAGAGTGGCCCTTGCCGGCCTTCTTCTCAGCCTCTGCATCCTGCCAGCCGTTGCGGGCCCTTTCTTGCTTGAACTTCTCATGGGCCTTATCAAAGGAGTGATCCGAAAGGAAGTTCTCGACGAGGTCGAGTAGCTGTGCAGGGGGGCTGCCGGCAGAGGCCTTGGGCGCCTTTGGCTTCTCGTTCTTCTTGACCTTGGCCATGCTGTCTGGCTCGGAGATTGTTGGAGGTGCGGGAGCGGTCGTGTGGGAGGATGTTTTGTTGGAAAATAACCAGGCCGGGGCTGGCATGGGCGACGTTATGCAAGCAGCTCGAAAGGAGGAAATTGCTATCTGGGAACCGAAGTCATGGGGAAGCAACGACGGGAGGTTTGAGCTATGATTTGGGCTCTTGATGGAAGGACTGGGGTTTTTTTTTTCCACCGCCCAGAAAAAAAAAATGGCAGAAAGGCAAAGGTGCCCCTCGGTTTTAGCGCAGGTGGCACGAGCCATGCCATGCCCAGTGCCTGACTTGGGCGGATTGACCAATGAGGGGTGCTGAAATCCCGTGGGCTAGTGGGTTAGTGGGTTAGGTGAGTTCAGTTCCTCGAAGTCGTGACACGATCCACAACTTAGGTAGGCTCGTAGGTAATTATGTCAGAAGGGGCTGGTCCACTAAGGACAACCCCAGGGCAAATTTAGTATGTAGAGCTGTCTCTGCCCAACCACACCGCCCTTTAGGGCCACCCCTAAGGGCCGGCGGCCCCCCTAGCGGCCTTCCCCCTTATCTCCCTTAGAATTAGACACCTTAATAAATAGAATTTGATTAATCTGATCCTTAATTGATAGTTATAAGCCTGGTTAATATCTGATTAAGTAGATTAGAGTAGGCCTATCTACCTAGAGTAACTATTACTAGAGGGACTGCCTGCAATGCGGACTTTTATGTAGCTAAAAGAGAGGGCGGTCTAGAAGGGCAGAAAAACGCCACTATTTTCCTACCGGAAATCACGTCCTAGGCCTAAAAAAAACAACCTATACCCCTACTACCACTATATCTACTAAGTAAAAAGGTATATATTATAGCTATAATTTTAATTCTATAGAGCCTGGAATACTATTATTTAAAAGTGTATTAAATTCTCTACTAGATGATGGTATTATATAGTGATTTAGAAGTGCTTTTTACTATATAGAGATTAATCTAAGGTTAGATCTAAGATATAACTACTAATATTCTAATATATAGATAGTCTTCTTTAACCTATAGGTATAGTAATAGACCTTTTTATAAATAAAGCTATTAATATAGCTATATATAATATAGAAATAATAATAGATCTAGATCTATCTATAGCTAGTAATAAGACTAGTCTTATTATAGGCAGCTCTCTAGTTGATATTCCTATACTACTAGAGGCTAGTAATACTATAGGCAATCTTCTAGCTAATATTCCTATACTACTAAAGGCTAGTAATACTATAGATAGCACTCTAGGTATTATTTCTATACCTATAAATAATATTAATCCTATAGATAATCCTCTAGCTAGTATTTCTATATTAGTAGAGGGCAGTTATATACCTCTACTATTTTATAAAGTTTATTAAGTTTATTATACTTATAGACTAGTACCTAATCTTATAATAAGCTGAACTATAAACTTTAATAATATTATAGACTATAGTCTAGCTAATAAATATTCTTAAGATATATATATTATAGTTAGTTATAAGTTTATATAAAATATTCTTAAATATTATAATCTAAAGGCTAATAGTCTTTCTAACTTTAATAACCTCTATATATTATTAAGATATAAATCTATCTATAAAAGCCTGGTACCTATTATAAAGCTATATATCTAAAAGTTCTATTAGAATATTTCTAATACAATCTATATCTAGTAGACTAGATATATAATAATCCTTATACTACCTATAGCTCTAGAGCTTGAAATCTCTTATATAAAAATACTTATAACTAGTAATATACCTCTATAGGAGGTAATATACTAGCTAGATAGTATATTTAAACTATAAATTAAGAAGTTGCTAGATATAGATAATACTTCTATATCCTCTACTACCCTCTAAACTTTTATAGAGCTAGAGTAGCTAGTTAGAGCAACCTACTTTATCTATCCTTCTCTTATATATATAATTATAAAGCACTATAGACTAGATAAGAATAATAGGATTTCTAGCTTACTAGAGGACCTAATAGCTATATATTTTTATAATAATAATAATAAAGATAGCTATTTATAGGTACTATATTAATATATAATAAATATAGTTTATATATATAAAGTTATTTAACTTAGGTAAGACAATCTAGTATTATCTATATCTTCTTATTATAAAAGATATCACCCTATAACTATTTAATAAGAGGGCCTAGTAGTTGCTAGTAGGAATAAACTTATATAATACTCTTAGCTATAGAGGTTAATATAAGACCTATAGAAGAATAAATAGGCTCTATAGGTAGTAATACTAAACTACTTACTATAGCCTATCTAGAAGACCCTAATATAACTCTTATCCTTACTACTATAAAAATCTAGCTTTATATTAATTAATATATATTCTAAAGAAGAACCTACTAATATAAACCCTACTCTAGCCTCTCTTAACCTCTTAGCTATTAACTAATATAACCTCTTATATATACTATAAGAAGGAGAAGATAGCTATAGAACTATATTATTAGACTATCTTATAGCTTAATTCTAATATCTCTATAAAGATAGAGATCTAGAAAAGAATATTATAAAGCTAATAGCTATTATTTTATCTAATAGTAGACCAGTATATATTATCTACTTAATCTATAAAGCCTATATACTTACTATTTATAGATTAGAGATAAAGTTATATACTACTATTTAATAGATATCTATATATATAACTATAGCTTATATATTAAAGCTAGACTACTCTAGCTCTACTTTAACTTTATAGACAAACTATATATCTACTATAATAATAATATAGATATATTTAGAGGCTGTATATATAATAATAACTACTTAAAGAGAGCCTATACAAACTGCCACTTTAATAGAAATAGAACTAAGTACGACTACTATATAAAGAATTATATATAGACTGAGATAGAGGATGAACCTACTGTTATAGTAGATCTAGAATTACCTATCTAGCCTAAGTCCTCTATAGCTAAGCATAAGATATAGGGTAAGAGATTTATATAAGTTACTTCTGTCTCTATAGCTAGTAAGGCTATAACTATATTATATAAGTCTTCTATAAAGATGCCTATAAAGATCTAGTCTTCTATAAAAGCTAATAGGATAAAGAAGCTTGCTAAGACTCTTATAAGTAAGAAAGATAATAATATAGCTAAAAGTAATAATAGTAAGATCTTAAAGAAGATTATATCCTATAAGAAGGATAATAGCTAAGACCTAGATTATTATAGGTACTATAAGAGACTTTATACTAATAATATCTTAGATAATAATATATCCTATTAAAAGCCTTATTATACCTATAGGCTAAATATAGATCTGTCTAATCTCTTTATCAGCCTATAGAAGATGGCTAGTCTATAGAGCTTTAGTAGTATGTAGAACTTCTTAGATATACAGAACTTCTCTAATATATAAAACTTCTCTAGTATGTAGAACTTCTCTAATACCTATAGCTTTAGAGGTATATATAGCTTTAGTAGCTAGTAAGATCTTAGAATTTAATAAATAGCTAGACTATAAGTATTCTAAGAACTATAGAGCTATAGTAGTATAGAAATAGGCTAGATAATAGGTTATAGCTATATATAGTCATCTGGTAACCATAGTATAGATAAGATAGTACTAATCTAACTCTATCTACAGGTCTAGAAGATATCATCTTTAAAGCTATAGAATTAGATAGATATAACCTATAGCCTCCTCTCTATACTTAAGAAGTGGATTTAATAGCTATAAGGCGGCTCTTTATATAGTATATAGATATAGGAAGAGATAGAGGATGATTAGTATTAAGAATAAAGATACCTCTATAGATAGATAGGATTGCTTTTTATAATAGACTTTAGAGGTCCCTATAGATAAATAGAATTACTCTCTATATTATAATAGACTTTAGATATTTTATAGTGCTTTCTACTATCTTTATTAATATAATAAGTTTAGAGGTTATATTAGATATTAAATTAAAGGGATTTTATTACTCTATAAGAGTACTTCTAGGTATACTATATTAAAAAGCTTCTCTATCTTTAATATAGGAGGTAGTATAAAAAGACAATATATATTAGTGACTCTTAACATCACTATATAGAACTAGCTATAAGAGAACACCTAGTAGTATAGGTCTACCTTAATAGTCTTAAAGAACTGGCCCTATATCTTATTTATAGTTATAGTAAAGTAGAGACATACTAAAAACTACTGTCTGATAATCTTTATACTAAAGTTATAAGAAGATATATTCAGCTTAATCTATAGGATTAGATATAACTGTCCTATAAAAGACCTACTAAGAATACATCTCTAGATTATACTATAGCCTAGCTAAGTAACTACTAGCTATATACTATTATAGAGGCCCTTCTATAGAAAGAGGTTATATAGAAGAATAATAAGCATACTAACCTTAAGCTTAAGACAGGCTAGAGGTATTAATATAAAGTCTAGTGACTATAAGAAGTCCTCTAAAAATTATAGTATAGGGTTATTAGTATTATTAGATAAGAGATCTATAGAGTTAGCTGATAGGTATATCTTAGCTATACTAGAAAACCTCTTTAAAACGTCTCTATTAATCTCTACTACTATGATATTATATACTATAAGAATAGCTCTATCTTAGAATATATTAAAGTCGTCTAATATCTAGACAAGCAGGCTCTATAGATAGATCTTATCTACTAATATCCCTATAGAGATGCTATATCCTATAATAGATAGCAGTGCTACTAGACTATAGTTAGTGTTATTATAAGAGAGATCCTATAGTTATTAGATAAATATAATATTCTTAGGGCTAGTAGATCTTATATATATATTCTTAGTTAAGAAGAGCTTGTAGAAAGAGGGCTATAATATAGATATCTATAGATAAGCCTGTATTATCTATAGATAATTATTACTAAGAACTATAGGTAAGATCTATATAAAATTATTACTAAAGATAATAGGCTTATTACTAAAGAGAGCTATAGACTTATAGATATCCTATAAGATATAATCTATAGC